ATAGTAGATTCAAATGACTGCTATTAGTTATAAAGTATATTATTAAGACTTCTTCACACTAGACTCTAGTGTGTTTATGTAAAACCCATAAAATAAATGGCCTGATTTTGCATGTGTGGGTGTTTATGTCATTTCAGGATCAAGAGCTGGAAATATGATCCACAGAAAGATTAATTCAAACCTTTTCAGTGTTGCTTAATCGTCTCTGTTAAAGGGCGTCTGCTTGCATTTAGAATTGAAACATCTAAATGTAAGTAAATCTAAAACTAATATATCTTGAAAGGACTCCGGCAGGGTTTAGCTTTGGCCTTTATTAAACTGTAAATAGTTGCAGGATATCAGTGAGGAGTATTTTCCCAATAATCCCAATAATCATGAGGGCAGTTGCTCAAAATCCCTTTTTAGAGAGCGAGGTTGGACGGGTTACATCGGCACTCACTGTATCTCCAAAGGCCTCAGAGAAAACTAAACATGTGTTGAGTCTATATTAAATATAACCTATAGCTGTCATCCTGTTTCTAAGCCACTAAAATAAAGAAGATAAAGTGAAATTTGCCTTGAAGAAAGAGACAAAAAAAGAAAAAGAAAAAGAAAAAGAAGAAAGAGGCTTGTTTCCCCAATGTTGCTCCCAAACCATAAGGAAGATGTGAATTTAAGATCTGTTGAAAACCGAGGAAAAAGACACGTGTATAGTGTCTTAGGAGCAGTAACGTGTTTCTGAAGAGGTGATTTCTATTCATTCAAGGCTTCAAATGTTATTTTAAGGCTTTTCCTTTGCCTTAAATGCAGCAGCAGAGCTGTTTCCAGACACTTCTTGGTAATCCCATTTAACAGCCATGTCTCCATCTTTTCCTCCATCGGTTTTCAGTCTCCACCTGCCGGCTGCAGTTGACCCCCGGTTAATCCCGCTGTGCTCGCAGATCACCATTTCAAATATCCAGCTGCTTTGTGTCTCCTTCTATAAACCTCGCCGCAGTGACCCTCTCTGATGTGGCGGTGTTTGTCCACGCTCTTGCCGGGGTTGGGTGCTGCAGGGCCCGATAAGGGCAGTGGCGGCGGCGGGGTCCCCAGAGAGCCAGATTAAAGCTTAAAGGACAGGTTAAAGCTCTGCAGACCTCTGCGGACACTTAGATTCCAACTTTACTGCAAAAAGCCTGCACCAGGAAGCTTAAACTCACAGGAAAATGAGAAATAACCTTCCTCAAAGTGCGCCGGCTATAAATCCCTCTCACTGGTATCTGTCAGAGGTCAGGACCCCACACGGGGTCACCAGATAAATCTGGGAGGTCACGAGATGATTAACGAGAGGAAAGAGAAAACAAATCCTCACACACACACAAAAAGCTAACAGCTCATTTTGGAGGACGTCGAGATAAAGCAGCCTCTTACCGCAGACAGCTCTGATCTGTTTCTGATCGAGCTGATCGATTGGAATTAACACAGCGCTGACTTTGACGAGACCTTGTCATTTTCCTGACCAAAAGCACCCACCATCTAAGTGCCCTTGAGCACTCTTTTACCTGCAGAGGGTAGAAAAAGACACTCCCCCCCCCAATAATTTCAGTCTTTGTTTGCTTTCTGCTGCAGATTTTACCTTTTAAGAGGGAGGGCGCCCTCACAGGGAGAGCGCCTCACTGTGTTTGTACCAGTTAGTGAGCCAGCAACCTAAAGCCTTTAAAACCTATTAATTTGAAAGCTGCATTAGTTTCTGGACTTGATTTTCTTCCTCATTAAAGTCTTAGAAACTCACGTTAGTGTTCTAGGGTTAGAAAATTATATATTATGGAAGAAAAACCGGTGAGTTAGGTTTGGGTTAAAATGCATCGGTTGCCATGTCTTTTAAAGATTGGTTGCCATGAGGACCCCTCCAAAGACGTTCTATTCTGCGCACAAAATATCTGAATATGTGGATTAAGGTTGTGGAGCATCAGTCTAAATGGAGAAGCTCAATTCTGCTGCTTGTATCCTCGACCTGATGGGCGAGGGAAGGACTGTAGATCGACCAATAAGTCGACAGATTCAGCTCCATCTTCACCACAACAGATTACTACACTAATATACTTACTGTTGAAATACACTACTTACACATTTGTGCTCATGGACCCAAAAAACGTGACGTTTTGTTTCCATGAACTGAAGCTCTCATGTCCAGACCAAGGTCTGACCTCATGGTTGCCCGATTGGACGAATAAATTGATTGCAGGTGTTGAGCTGAGCTGTACACAGACCCCAGGACACAGACTGTCCCTCAGGACAAGTCGCTGTTTTTTTTTCCGGTTTGAGAACCAAACCTTCAGAAACACGAGGACTCGCTGACAAACATGCAGAGGACGGTTTTCATGTCTCCACCTGCCGTGACAGACTCCGCCGCCGGAGTCAGGAGCTGCATTGGTGGCTGTGACATCACTCGAGTTATCTCACGTCTGAGTCCGAGGCTGCTGCGGGATGAAAGGCTGCGAGGTGTGTTTGATGTCACGGAGGGGCAGCGTGCGTTGGCGTGTAATTTGCCATCTCGGCGTGGAGTTTGCTTCCACCATCCCCCTCCTCACCTTGATGCACAATGTTTCCAGCTTCGTGTGACAACGGTAGCCTTTACCCATCTCCGTCCAGCTGTTTCCACCTGTGCTTGAGCGGCAGCGACCCTCTCCGTACTTCTGTCGTCAGGTGGAGGTGCGTTTGATGTTCGGTGTCTCGTTGGGGGGGGGGGGGGGAGCACATTAACTACCTTTATGTGCTTCCCAATCGAAAAGTGGAAGGAGAAAGTTGCCCTCAGCTGCTCGTCTAATCTCGATTAATCCCACTAATCATCCACCCGGCGTCAGAGGCCGAGGCCTGACGGTGAGGAAGAGGAGGGTGAGTTAATCCTCCCCCGCACTCCTCCTCCTCAGAGATGAAGGGAGGCACTTCAGAGATGAGAAGTCGTGATGAAAGAAAGCGCTGAGAGAACAAGTTTCCACTCAGGATTTCGCTTTAATTTAGAAACTGATCAAAGAGGCGCAGGTCACGTGACAAACAGCAACCGCAGACCCACTTCTCACTTCCACCTTAAATATTTCAAAGTTGGAGCGGTGATGAAGCTGCACATGCTCATAGTGACACTGGGTCTAAACACAAGAGGACCCCCCTAAACACAGCATATGTGTAATCTTTGCTGTGAGGTACCTGAAGCTAAACAATGTTTTTAAGGTGGATTTATTCTTTCAATCTGCTCTTTAACAGCCCAGAAGCCCGCAGCTTCATATTGTTCCAGTGTGCAGATCTAAGGAAGCCACTTTTCCATCTTTTTCGTGTCCTCATAACTTCATAGGTTGGGAGATATCCAGCCTAAAGGCAGAATCACTTCCTCAACTTCACTAAGGCGGAACTCCTTAGTGTGTTATTACTGCGATCATCAGCATGAGCCCGGTGTTTCAGGGACTGTAAAACAGGAGGGAGAAACTCAGATCTATGTTGGAATCTAGTGGTTCCTCTGGAGATGGAGACCTCTTTCAGACTTTTCAGTTTCTGCGTCTTTATTTTTATGTTTCTTGCTTACTGTTTGGGATTAAATCAGTGCACACTCAGGTTCAGTTAAACATCACTTAAATGTTTGTGTGTATTCCACCATCAGAAGCTCCTCAGCTCCTCTTTCTGCTGCTTCTTCCACCTCAAATTTGATTTTGTGCCCCTGTGGGTGCAGCTTTTGCCTCCATGGCTGCCCGGGAGGCTTCAAAGAGCTTGACAGACAGAGAGGAGAAAGAGGAGGCTCCACCCCTGCTTTAGAGGAGGCGGTGCAGACGGTAAAACCAGAGCTGGAGTTTGCTCTCGCGTGACCCCGCTACTGCCCAGCTGACTTACATGTAGATCAGAGCAGGAAGTAAAGCCACAGCTTAGGGTCATCAGGTCCTCAGCATTTATTTTAGGAAAGTTTCCAGCCTGCTGAAGGGAGAAACCTGCTCCAGAATATAAAATCCATGCTTCAGTGTCCAAAGTTGGAAGACTGAAACTGCCAGAAAAGGGAAAAAAATTATCAAAATAATAATAAATAATAGATAATAGATAATTAAAAAACAAAATAATTGCAAGTATATATGTGTATATGTATATGTATGTATATGTGTATATGTATATGTATGTATATGTGTGCGTGTGCGTATTCTAATTCATTATTCATTGTTGCAAAAAGGGGGCTGTACTTCAAAAGGTTATGTAAATAAAAGAAAAAAGGGAAGAAAATCTAAATTTAAACAGGAAGGTAAATAAATGCAGGTATTATTTAAAATGAAACGCATACAGGAGCAAACCAAATCGGAAGCATTCATTTATGTGAAATTTGATAAATTAATTAATAGCCATGAATGTTTTTTAATTTTTTGTTGTTGTTGCATTTATATTTGTTATTTATATATTCATTAACACATTTATTTTTTTTTATTTTAGTACTTTTGGTCCTCCATAAGAAAATCTTAATGCCATCCTGTTTGTTTTTCATATTGCAGGACAAAAGAATTGTATTACAAAAATAGAGATAAACAAGCTTCAATGGACAAACCAATAAAATAAACACAAAAGTAAAATAGTGAATAAGTGAATTAACACCTAAAATGTCAATTAGTATATTTTTTATGAATAAGCTGTTGCATATATATATTTTATTACTTCATTCTTTCTTTCTAATTTGGGATTTTCAGTCCTCCTTAAATGTGTTTGAATGAGTGAATAAATAAACTGTTTGCACTTAGTTTTTCTTTAAATTGGAATTTAATTTAATTCAATTTTTTGGTTTGTTTTTATTTTGGCAGCTTCAGGCCTCCATATATTTTAGCCATAGTGAGGAGAAAAGTGTCCTTCTCAGTGTTGGTGCCGCTAACAGAGCTTCTAAAATAGCCCAGGCTCTGCTGTAAGAGTAAATAATAAACACGTGGTTTAACACTCCGGCTCCTGTGAGGTCTCCGCACCGTGTTTCCCCATCATCCTTTGCTGCTGCCGCTGGCCGGTGTTCAGTGTGTGTGGAGCGGAGATCGCTCAGAGTGCAGCGGAGGACGGTGCGGTGGCTGTCCGGTCCGGTGTTTACTGTCGGCGGGTTAAAGTGTGAGCGGAGGTCCGGATCTTCAGCTGGAAATTCAGCGGCATTTGGAGCACAAGTGAAGCGGGTTTGAGGAGCGAGAGGCCCGGCTGGCTGCTGCGCGGCGCTGCGGGGGATGTGCGCACACAATGGGAGACGGTCCGGGACTCGAACAGCGTCTCCCCGCCCGGCTTGGTTTGTAAAGACACCGGAGCTGGAGCCGGGACTCAGCGCGGAGTGAGGACCTCCTCTGACCGGGCAGGACGCCTAAGACACCGGGAGGAGCTCAGCTGCGAGCCCCGTGGGAGCCGCGGAGGACGCGCCTGTGTGTCGTGAATCCCGCTGGGATGAACCCCGAGTGTCTCCTGCGTTCCAAACCGCTGTTTACACATCTGGATGAAGAGGAAAGCCTGGGTTTGGAGCTGGTTTATGGAGTTAATGCATGTTAGTTTACTGGATTTACCCGCAGACCCATCAGCAGCCTGCAGAGGTTAGTGCTCAGAGGATAAAACTAAAGGAGCAGTTCACAGTTTCTCTTTGAATCCGAATATTTTAAATTAAAGGAGCAGTTCACAGTTTCTCACATGAGCTTTGAAGGAGGCGATGTACCTGCTGGACAGTAGCAGCTCTGAGAGGATGGAGAGAGGAGCTCCTCAGAGAAAGACTGTGTACCGGATCTCACTCACGCTGGTGAAGAGGGAGAGCTTAGAGGATGAGGACTCGGTGCCCCGGCGGGCAGAGAACCCAAAGGTGGGCGCCTTCAGGCGTGAGGGGTCGGCAGAGGTGCAGCGGGGAGGTCTGCTGGAGCAGCTGAAGGAGGTGGAGGACGAGTCGGAGGATTTCTCCTCTTCCCACGGCTACATGCGGAACTTTAGGACGTTCAGCACGGGCCAGCTGGAGCTCGGCAGGCTGAAGATCTGCCGGAAGCAGCTGCTGCAGCGGGGCGCCAAGGCCACCAGTCCGCTGGCGGAGCCCGGGCAGGAGGATGGCGGCGAGCGGGAGGTGGAGGAAGCACCACAGGCGCTGGTGGAGAACGGTGGTGTTGGCGAGAAGAAGAAGAAGCTCCTGAAGGCGAAGAGCGTGGAGGAGCAGAGCTCGGAGCCCGTGAGCAGCGTCGGGAAGCTGGCCCACTCTAAAAGTAACGGGGCGCCGTCCACAGAAGGCCCCCCGGAGACTCCACCTCCTCTGAAGCGCCCACCCGGTCTGCTGCGCCGCAGCTTCAGCTTCAGGCACTGGAGCGGTGGTGAGCTGCTGCGCCTGCGGGCGCTCTCCAAAGACAAACACCACAGCAGCTCCGGCTGCATTGGCCAGGACGCCGCAAAGAATGACGAGCCGGCTGCGCCGCTCCCCACAGCCCGCCTCCTCGACCCCACCAGAGAGAAGAGCAGGACACTGGAGGTCGGCGCCGTCCTCAACAAGACAGACTCCATGTCCGAGCTGAGCCGCTGGGAGAGGGCGCAAGGCAGCAAGAACCGCACACTGGACAACAGCGACCTGCTCCGGCTGGCGGAAGAGAAGGACGCTGCCGGGGCAGCAGGTGGAGGCTTCCTGCTGCGGGGAGGTGGGGGACGCTCCAGCGAGCGGCGCCTGGTTCGCTTCTTCAGCGGGATCTTCTCCAGGAGGGACGGTGCTTCCACGTCCACGCCGGTGGGGAGCCCTAGCACCAACAGGTCGCTGCGCCGCAGCCGTAGGACGGCGCTGTCGCAGTCCAGCACGGAGAGCATGAACGGAGGCAGCGCTGACGGTAAACACGTGACCACAAGGGTTTGAGTGTGTGGATGTTTGAGTGTGAAGTGTGTGTTTGTTTTAAACAGCAGGGTGGTGTTTGGTTGAGACTCTGCTGCTGTTTGTCTTTCATTACTCGGAGCTCAGCAAATTCAACACGAGGCAGAGCGCCATCACCTCCATCCAAAGCATGGTGAGACAGAAGCCAATGAAGGGTTAAAAATGTCAGACAGGAAGTAGGAACAGGGAGCAGTTTGACTTTTATCTGCAGCATCCTCTTTCCATGGAGAGGGGACGAGTGGAAAACATGACAGATGAGAGGAAGTGCATTAGTTGTTGTTCTCACAGATGGATGTTTTCTCCATCAGCCTCTGTCCTCTGCAGAGGAACCTTAAAGGCTCCATAAATGAGTCCGTGCAGGACCACAAAGACTAAACACAGAAACAAACACATAAAGCAGAAATCATTTGTAGCTGTCTCGGCTGATGCAAGGTTTGTTTAGAGGCTTTTATTCTGAAGGAGCTCTGTTTTGTCCTGTTCTTAGGGTCTCTGTGACCTTTCCACAGGCGTTGGGTTCTGCAGGTCTCTCAGAGGTGGACTAACAGGTTTAGAGTCTGATCACACAGAGGAGGTGGGGTGGGTGGATGGTTGTGGTGGTGCAGGGCATGGCTTCACATGTTTGAGATTCCTGAGGCGTTAACCCCCCAACCCAGCGAGCTGCTAGATGACGGCGTCTGGCAGGTAAGCTGTTGTTTCTGCAGACGACCTGTTTGTCCTGAGAGAAGTCCTGAAACTGGAGGCTGAAGTGTGGCTGTTCACACCTTCAGCAGTGTGGGAAAACCTTTCAAATTAAAATAACTAAAGGCAGCAGAACAATTAAATGCTGCTTTTCTCATTGTTCCCTCACATTTTGCAGATTAATCAAGAAAATATCTGTCAGCCTGATTTCTTACTTTGTTACTTTTTCTCTTTCATGTTCACACTGACCAAGAAAACCTCAGCAGGGAGGCCTTTATTTTGAAGTTCAACGTTCAACTTCTGTTTCTTTTGGTTTTTGAATGACTTGATTCTCTCTTCTGGCAGCGCGTTCAAAGGTTTACGCCTCCGCAAGACGAAGGCAAGCCAGGCTTTTAACTCCTAGTTTGAAGGCACAAAGCATCGCGTTTAAAATGCTGCGGCGCATTTTAACAACGGCTCCTCACCGCAGAGCGCACACACTCTTACGGCTTGTGTTTAACATGCTGCACGCGGCTTTCAGGCCAGCGTTCTGTCAGTTTTGAAGTTTAAAAAAAAAAGGGCTCAGTGTTCCTATCAGAAACACCGCCGCGCTTTGGTGCTCATATTGGTTGTTTAGCATGCCGTGCTACACAGTAATATTAACAAATCAATTTTATTTATATAACACCAAATCACAACAACAGTTGCCTCAAGGCGCTTTATATTGTAGGTAAAGACCATTCAATAATAACGGAGAAAACTCCAACAATCACATAACCACTTGTGAGTAAGTGCTTTGGCAACTGTAGGAAGGAAAAAACTCCCTTTTAACAGGAAGAAACCCCCAGCAGAAGCAGCCTCAGGGAGTGGCTGGATGATGATGATACTAATAATAATAATAACCAGGAACGGCGCATTTAAAGAAAATAATCTGTGTTGTTTAATTTCAAATCAAATCAAATCACTTTTATTGTCACATCACATGTGCAGGTACATTGGTACAGCACATGTGAGTGAAATTCTTGTGTGCGAGCTTCACAAGCAACAGAGTTGTGCAAAATACAATAATGTAAACAAGCAAAATACAAGAATGGCTAAATCTGAAACTAATAAATATATGTACAATATATAATAGTATATGCATTTCTGGATGTGTATACTAAATATTTTTCTGTGTGTGTGTGTGTGTGTGTGTGTGTGTGTGTGTGTGTGTGTGTGTGTGTAATTTGGCTAGACTCTTAGGTCTAAATGAGCTTCTAGCATCGACATACATGCTTCTCGTTGGGTGTTTGGCTTCATTAGCTCCACACTAATCATAATAACCAGAAGTGCTGTAAATGATTTAGAAAATGTTGTTGGGCTCTGCGCTCTTTTAGTCCATGTTTCGGTCTGTTTGAGGTATGAAATGTGGTGAAATGTCGACTTCACAAGCTCATGTTACCTTTTTTTAAGATTCCATGTTCTCCGTAGTAATCATTTTAATAAGAATAATAACTGTAATTAGTGTTTAATAGTTAGGAAATAATGTGTTTGGACGCTGTGAGCGACAGCCTCCTCGTCTTGCTCTGATGTGCCACTCTAATCTCTCTAGTCGATCAGTTTTTTCTTGTCATTTGACTCAACACCTGTATGCGCTTACCTCATCCTGCTCCTGCGTCCTGATTGGGTGATTTCAGAGCACCTACTCATCAGTGTACAGAGGGGAACTTTTTTTTTTTTCTGTCCGAGGCCAGGGATTGTTGTCTGATAAAGACGGCCCCTGACCTCGCTGTCTTAATGGACTCGACTGGTGTGTGTGTCTGTTGGGAGTAAATGTAGGGGAATGTGTGTGTGTGTGTGTGTGTGTGTGTGTGCGTGTGTGTGTTTGACCTACATCCGCAGCCATGCAGAAGTAATATGGGCTGTAAAAATGCACACACTCAGTCTTGGATGCCAATTACTGCGTCTACGTTTGCATCAATTTATCTGCTTTTTTCTTTATCTTCCCAACACACACACACACACACACACACACACACACACACACACACACACACACACACACACACACACACACACACACACACACACACACACTCGTGATTCTTCAGCAGCTGAAGCTCCTCCAGATGAGTCGAGCTGTTTCTCAGTTATAGCTTTGATCCTCCTCTCTGCTTTGCCTCCATACATAAACCTCACACACACACACACACACACACACACACACACACACACACACACACACACACACACACTCACTACAATGGGTATAATAGGGAGAAAATCCTATTAGAGGAAATGCTGCAGCAGGGAGCAGAGATGGAGGGATGATGGAGAGATGACTCTTCTCCTTCCTTACTTCCTTCTCCTCATTTCTCCTTTTATTTTTATTTTTTTCCTTGCTCGTCTCCTTCTCTTTATTTGACATCATTTTCTGTTTCCTTCCTTAAAGTGTCACCTGTTCGCTATCCTAACTTTGCCTCGTTTGTTCTACATTTCTTCTCTTTCTGTAACTCCACTTCTTCTCCTTTCTTACTTTTCCTTACCTCGTTTTCTTTTCTTGTTTCCTTTTCTCCTTGCTAAATTTTCTCCTCCTTCATCCCTTCATTTCATCCTTCTTTTCTTTCTTCATTCCTTCACCTTTCCATCCTTCCTTGTTTCCTTCTGTCCTTGCATGCTAGTCTTGTGTGCTCCTAATTTAATTCCTTCTTGTTTCCTTAACTCCTCCTTGAATCTTTTTCTTTTTTCTTCCTTTCCTTAACTCTTATTTCTTGTTTCCTTTTTATCAATCTTCCCTTCATTGGGTCCTTATTTCCTTCTCTTTTTGCCTTATGTTTTTCATTCCTTTATCCCTCCATTTGTCTTTGCTTGACTCCATTTCCCACCTAGCTTTCTTTCTTCGTTTGCCCAGTTTTTCCTTTTTTCTTTTAATTTCTTTCCTCAACTTTTTTTCAGGTCCTTTTTTTCTCCATCCTCTGGTCTGCTTGTTTCTTTCTCACTGCCTAATTTCCTTCATCTGCTCCTCTTTCCTTTCTTCTATTTATTGTGTCCTTGCTTTATTTTCTTTCCTTGCTTCCTTCCTTGTGTTCCTCTCCTTGATGAGTTTAGTGAACTCCAGACAGAAAGAAGATGTTAGATTTGATCCTGAAAGCTCCATTTACTCCATTTGTCCATGCTGAGGTCAGTTCGCAGGCCATTCAGTCTTTAAAGCTGGCTCAGTTTCTTCTCACTTAGGTCCAGTAAAGAGCATTATAGTCCATGATACAGCTACACAGAGCAGGTTTAATTTGAGTTTGTTCTGCAGAGCCGAGGAAGCAGAAGTGGGCCAGATGCTGTCCTGGTTCTGGGTCTCCGGCGGGGACTCTGGCTGTATCATTACTGCAGGCGGGTCAGGCCGGCGGAGTGTGGTGTGTTAAAATAACCGGACCCGAGTGTGACTTCAGGCCGCGGCCTGGAAACCATCAGCCTTCTTTATTTTTAACAGCACTCGCACCAGAGTCTGTGAGGAAAACTGCATTTAACAGACAGGACTCTCTGTGTTTCACAGCTGCAGAGACAAGCTCTTCCCTCTTTTCTCTGCAGTGTTTTTAAATAACTGCATAAGCATGTGACGGAGCTGTTCGCTCATTAAAGAGCTCGGAGACGCGTCGATGTTGTAACACTGTTTTCACTGCTAACCTTCAGTGTTAGAGCAGCGACGCCTTGGCCTTCTGCCGCTCCCTCCTCGCTGGCAGCGTATTAGCTGGCTGCTGTGTCGCCTCAGTGCTGGAGGTTGTTCAGGGGTCCTGCTTGTCCTCCTCCTCACTTCCTCTTCAGAGCCAAGTTGGCCCATGTGGCGAGGCTTTGTGGCCTCTGTGAACAGAGCCGTGAAGCAGCACGGTCCACCTGTGTGCAATGAAAACCATTGATCACAGAGCTGACAGCTGATTTGTCATTGATTGTGTTAGTTTAAACCAGACGTGACCTGAAGGTCCTGCTGATGTTCACCACGTTTGCCTGGATCAATATCAGCCTGGTCTTTTCCTCACTGAGCAATATGACCTATTAACTTATTATCGGCATGGGATCAGCAGATACCAAAAGCTGAGGTGTTAGAGATGGAAAAAGTTGGAGCTTTGCATCCCTAACTTAAGCATATAAAGCCTCAAATGGTCCTGGGCCCGGTCACACTGCAGTCTTTATAAAATCTCGATTTATTTCTTACTAAATTTAATGTGGCCTTCGTCACTTTAATGGTCAATATAATAAACGTCTAGAGTCTAAGTGGTTAATAAAAGATCAGTAATGGTTTTCAAATGGACCAAAATCCAAAGGTCGTGGTGC